GCTGAACCCAGTGCACAGACTGAAAAGATAACGCAAATGAAAAGCCAAGGAGAGTTTTAGAAGTGTCAAAACAGTAATGCCACATTAAAGCTTCCCAAAAGTAACAGTGTTAGTTAGCACACATGGCACTAGGTAGAAGTGGTATACAATTCTTTCTCTGAGTTAGGAACAGAAATGGACCATGGCAGAGACGTGACAACTAAAGTTAAATTAATATAAAAACTGTAACATAATTAAAGAAATTATACAAGAAAAAAATTTTAAGATATAAAGAAACTTAAGTAACCAAACACTACAACAAAACACCATATTAAGACATCAGTTATTAACTTTCTGAATCTAAAATTCTCTTTAAAAAAAATTGTAATTGCCAGGATTACTAGACAAAGACAGAGGTTATTGACTATACACATACTAGCACCAAGCTCAAGTTTGCAAGTCAGTACCTTATTTTTCTTGATGAACGGCCATAACTTGCCCTTGGATTTGCCACCAAACTTCGGCTCAGACTTCCCATCCCCTCTGGAGTTGGAAAGGCTGGATTCCGAGATAGTCCGCTTCATTGGCTGCGTGAAGTCCTCAAAGTCGACATCTCCTGGAGGCTCGAACCCCGATTTAAAGGCTTCTATTACCAGCTGTGAATCCTGAGATGGGACAGATCCAGTACAAGTATAAACATCTCAGATGATAGCTGTCATGAAAGAGGTGGCACAGAAAAACAGTAGAAGGACAAGAAAGTTCACCTCTGTGGGAACCAACCTTTACAGGGACCAGTCTCATTCCTGGGAATAGAACACTCTTCCAGAGCCCAGAATCAGTGCAAGTCTCTCCACCTTCTGCTCCAAAATCAGGGCACTTTTCCAGGATCTATTTTCACTACCGTAATGTGCTTTAAATAAAAAAACCCACCTAGGCACAGAATAGTATCCTACCAAAACAAGGCACTCTAATGTATAAAATTTAATACTCCCAGATACTAAAGCGATAAATGCAGTTAAGAGCACAACAACCACCCCACACAGAACAAAAGTTTCTGACCTACGTCAGTCAGAATGCATTACAACCGGGAACATAAATGGCTAAGATCTCATTTTTATATCAGACTTCTAAAAAAAAAAAAAAATCTATGTAAATAAAGCAGGTGAGCTTTAGTCTCAAATAGCCCATTGTTCCCGTTACAAAACTCTAGCCCATTTTGCAAAGGTATCACGGAGACCAGTCATTACTCAAAATGCCGACAGATAAAAAGCATAGGACTATGGTGTATTTAGGAAAATAAAAAATACATCATATATCATTAAAACATAGGTCACTGTAGTTAACTACGATGCTTAGGAAGAGTAAACTCAGGGTTCCCCACTCCAACTTTCCACTGAGCTGTTCAACCCCCGAGTCTGACCACAACCTAGCAATGTTTTCATCCCCTTTGTTTTGTTTCCAACACAAAAATTAAAATTCTGACACAAACATCTTTTAAAGGCTTTTTCATGTCTACTGGTGAAGATGACTAAGAGCTTATCTTTGTTAACTTTACTGACTAGAAAAGCAACCATACTTCAGGAACTGAACAGATAAGTGACTCATAACAAAGATTTAAGGTATAGAATTGCAGAGCATGCAGCTGTAAGCAAACTAGTGGAAAATCCCAATAAATACCCCTATATAAAGGAGCTTGAGTGATCACACTGCCACGAGATCACAAGCTGGTGCTTGTGAACTCAGCTACAGTAAATGGCAGGGGTTTATCTTATGAGCTTTACTTAAGAACTGAGCAGTCCAGCGTCATGCAAGTAGCCCAACACCTTGGTGCAGGCAGTGGCTGGGAACTCCATACGCTGTCATTAAAGCCACAAGCCCTTTCGGCACTACTAGGAGTACTAGATGCAAGTCAGCCACACACTGGCTAGATACTGTCTGAAATGGCTGCGGCTTTTTTTGGGGGGGTTTTTTTTTTTTGGTTGGGGGTTTTTTGGGTGGGTTTTTTTTTTTTTTTTTGGACAAAGAAGAAACATAAATCAAAGCAAGAACAACATATAGCATTTTTCCTAGTCAGGTCTACAAACACAATTAATTATACATAAGCTCAAATTCAGACTTCAGCTTGGCAAATGCATTTAAATCTAATGGACTCAGAAAAAAAAATATTTTACCACACTTCTCATCTACTGACTTCTTGGGAAGAAAGCTTTTTAAGTGATACTGTTCTAACAGTTTTCTTCTAAGATCATTAGAGAAACTGTGCCACAGCACACAAATATCTTATTAGTCTCCAGAGAAAACCATCACCATCCTGTTCGGATGAAAAAGATGAACTTGTTGCTTTGAAGGCATTTCAGAGATTCACTTATACCTGTAGGTAAAACGCTATTCATACGGAATCTAGTGGGATCTAAACATATCCAGAGGCCAGCCTCAGTTGAGCAAAACACAGATATAGGAAAAGCTTTGCAAAAGTATTCATGGGATTATGAAGAAAATTAAGGTTTAAGATCCTCAACCTATCAGGTACATTGTGAAATTCCTACACAACTTTTAAGGAGTTAGAACACCGCTTTCTATTATCTCATCCTAGTTTGACATTAAATCTTCCTGAGATTTAAACATTTGAAGATATTTTTAATAATAGTCATGAAAGCAAGACGAAGAAGGAAGAGAGAACAGACTATAAACAGACACAATATTACATTAAATACTTTACTGGTATTCTATCCTATGCATCGAACTTTTCATTTTTTCCTCTTAATTTTACATGTTCCTTCCATTTAGTCAAAACATCCTTCCACTACAATGGAGCTAAAAATAACCAGCATGCTCCATATATCACGGAGATAATGTCATAACAGGAACTCCAAAGTCCATAAGAAATTAATTTTATCTGCTGCTAAAGCAAGTTCTGCACAGGTTCACCGAGCAGTCACTACCACTTACCCTTGCAACATGACCTCTGGTGTTGTCTGAGTTGTTAGAAAGGGGACATGAAAAAGCAGCATTTTTACAATTGCGTTAGAAATACGGGGCTAACCAGCATTCCCAGCTAAATCCAGACAGCTTCTATTGCTGCTAGCAGAAATTCTATACGCTTCAGTGAGGGCATAAAGCAATGCTATTTACACAGTTGCAAATTTAATAACCAAGCCTGAAAGACTGGCCATTTTGCAAGTGGGAATGAAGCAGAACTTGGTAATATAGCAGAGAATATAAAAAGTATTAAATCTGTCCCATATGCCATTCTGGTTCTTAACACTATCCAATAAAATAGGGGCCCTGGAAGACAAGTGATCTTCCAGAATCCTGCTAGCATCCACAGAGGGAGGGAACACGGAGCTGGCCGTGGAAAAGAAGCCTGCTAACAGTCTGCAGTTCCACAGTTTCAAAGTTACTATAAAAATACATCCTTCCTTACTCTCGTACTACACAATTCTCATGCTAGAAATCATAGACCAATGTTTGTAATAAACCACCCAGCTGAAAAAAAAAGCTCTGAGATACCTACATGAAATGCAAAGTTCTGCTGCTTTTATTTTGTTTCTCCTTTTTAAACAGTAAGGCCTTACCATCAGCTAGTAATATTTTACTGACAGCAAAAAGCTGCAGAACTTGCAGGTTCTTACATCCTTTCAGCTAGACTTGACACACAGTTTGATACACAAGGTAAATTACTAGAATTGGTGTTTTTTCTATTTTTTTTTTTTTCTTTCTGACCAATGTATCTTCTATAGTAGTTGTGGTCGTTCTATTTAAAGTCCCAGTTTCTGAACTGAAGTTACGGCACAAAGAGCAGAGCTTTCATTTAACCTCTCCCCTTCTTCAGTAACTCTGCATGTGACAGCTGGGTAGAAAAAGTGAAGATAAAACTAAAGGATACCAAGAGCTAAATAAGAACTCCAAAAGCATCACTGCCTTTTGTCAGTGTCATGGTGTCTGACCTTACAGATTTCAAGTTTGGTGATATGGTATGTTTGTTTATGACTACCAGATCCTGGAGATCTTCTCCCAGCTGGGAAACACATGTCTGTGTGGGCCCAGAGTTTCACACAAAGCTTTTCCTGCTCAGCAGGGTCTTGGTTTTACTCACCATTGTACTAGCTATATTATCACCAGCTGTCCTTGCATTCAACTTTCCTGGAATCTGACCTCATTTTCGAAGCTGACTACAGCACAGATCTAGTTGACTTCCCTATCCAAAGTTTTTCAAGCTTGAAAAAGATGAGTAAAGTAGACAACCTTGAATTTGAATCTTTCAAGGAAAAGGAGAAACTCTCATGATGGTAGCCTGAGAGAGCCCAAACTTGCTTCTTAGAATGTTAAGGGGTGAGATGGGAAAGGTCTGCTCTAACATTCTGCATTAGTGGCAGCAGCAGTACATCATCTGGAAGTAGAGAAAATACAGCTTTTAAACTGTGTGCACCTATGGTCATCCTTATAAAGTGGCAGGACCTGCATGCTACAGAAGGGCAGGAACAAGCATATCACTTAGCAGAATCAAGAAAGTTAGAAACTACTGTTCCAGAGATGGGGAAAAAAAAAAATCTTTGATGATATTTAAGCAAAAGAGAACCCTTTATGGACGTAACTGCTTTCCAGATAGAACATGCTAAACCCCTTGTAATTGTTCAGATAAAACAAAATTGGTTAAATATGTTCTTGTTAGCGTGGTGTTTACAGCAGATCCCTTAGTTATCAGTGCTCAAAGCCACCATTTTCTAATGTCATACTTGTGCACGTGAGCCATCAATTTTACCTGCGTGCAAGAGAGACTAACTTGAATATAAAATTCACAGCGATTCAAACACCCAGCTTAAGCCTTGTGTGTGTTTTGCCGAGACCCCACTCGAAGATTCAAGGAGAGTGTTGGCTTAGATGTGAATGTCCCCAATAAGATTTCACCATGCAGCACCAAAAGCTGTACCTCGAGAAGGGTACATTGCTCTAACATGGGAGTCTGTGCCCCAACTCCCCCTTCTCCCACCCTGAAAGAGTAATTTTCAGATTCCTTCGTTTCCTATGCTGCTCTCTGAGAGCAATTGCCGAGCAGAAAGTAGTGGATTCATTTCAAAACTTCAGCCTCAGGCTTATGCTGCCAATTAATGGCAGTCTCCAGGCTCTGGGTACTGAATAGCTCAGAAAAGATTCCAGTGAAAAAGTCGTATGGGAAATTCAAACAGCCAGACACATGCTGTTCGTATTTGAAGCACTAATGTGATCCATGAGAAGGGCTGAAAGAGCAAGCAGAGACTTAATTTACGAAGGGAGCAGATCGTTCTGAAAACAAAATAGAAAACACATTTGCCCTTGTACTAACTGTACATCAGGAAGCTCAATCAAACTCTTTATCAGCCTTTTTATCAGGAAGGCTTCTTTTTACTCCTACAATGATGTACAGAAATCAAGATTTGAGAGCGCTCATTTGCAAACCCCAAATCTGCAAAGAAAGATATTTACAGTAGAAATTATGGCAGAGTCGTTTGTAATAATTTATGTAGCCAATACTTTAAATACTGCCATTATTATAAAAATATAAGACATTTCTGCAACATTCAGTTTTCTGACTATTAGACACAGAACCCATCTGAAAAAGAACTGGTTTTACTAGGTATTTGGAATTGTATTAGCTGTCTGGAATTATGCCCCCCATCTTCTTTATTCTACGCAGAAGCCTATTTTTCAATTACAGTATTTCAAAAATTAATTACCAAAAAAAAAAAAGTTCGGCAGTAGAGGCATTTCTGGGTGTTAAGTAGATCTGGGAAATAATCCGAGCACATCCTGCCTCAGACAAAGTAGCTTGGGACAAGAAGCTATCCTTTGTTTTAGTTCTATGACTATAAACTTCTTGTGCTGCAGCCTGGACACAGGATTTAAGTCTCCATATAAAAGTGATCAATACTAAAGATGACAATCAACAACCCAAACTATGCAACACTTACATTCTTGTGATCAGTTGATTCTGCAGCCTTTGTTATTTCATCCAGACATTTTCCAATGATGGGGATCACTTGGCGGTCAACCTCTGCAAAAGTTTTCATGGATTCACCTATCCTCACAATTCTTCTTTCCTCCATCTCTTGAATTTTCTAAAACATTACATTTCATTCAGATCAAGTATCAAGATTAACTTCACAGTTTCAACCAATTTTTCTCCCCAGCACACCTCAGTTGCTTTAAAATTTATGGTTTAAACACATTTTTAAGGACAAATTAGGACAGCTGTTCTCATGAAGGCACTGAGTGATATTGTTCCCTCAAACATCAAAATGACATTATAAAAGTAGTCTCTGTTACTATTACTGGGAATTTTTCAACTAACTTTTTATGTTTAAAAAATGCTGATTTGTCAAAAGCCCAGCTTTAGAGGCCATCCTTACAAAAGCCTAAGTCTTTTAAGACTTTCTGGAACAATAAATTCTTTCCTTTTCTGTGCATGTTCTGAAAGACCTTATTTTCATTCCACTGCAGAATCCAAGCAAACAAAAATCTTGATGTCTCCCCTTCTCCTTTTCCCTAGAAGGTAATTTTTGGTTTACTGGCACTCCTATACATCATGCATTGTTCACACCAGGGCTTCTCAATCTATGTTCCCTGTTGCTCAATGGATTCAGTGCCACAACCTCCCACATTTATTCCATGGGCCTCTCGTTTACAACGGGGGGAAACTGGATGTGGCATAACGCTATTATGACAGATTGTAACAGGATACAGAAAGGCATGAACAGGAACGGCCTGTTTCACATTAGACTGCAGGAACCTTATGGAGCATTGTCAACTTAAAAATCCCCATTGTCTTGACTGATCCACAAGCAACATAAATTCTTTACAAAACAACTTATTTCAACATCTAAAAGAAAGCACTAGAGCTTGCTGGTGCACTGGTAGCGAAAAGGATAAATCTCCAGTACTTTAAGCATGCTCACCTACAAATCAGAGCACTTACCAGATCTAGTGTTAAATACAAATATATTGCAAAAATTTTGTATCTGATGCCAGCAATAATTTATCTCAAGACATTGGTTTGAAATACCATGAAGCAAAAGAGGTGGTGTTCTTTCTCTACAGTCTTTCTTCAGGCACCCTAAGACACAATCAGCAAACTTGCTTAAACCCTTTGACATTTACTACTGCAGAATTATTGTGGTTTAAATTTAAACATCTGTGAAGTCTGATTTGAAGCAGGTTATAAAGGGCTGAGAGGCTTTACAGATGTAATGATGCCCAGCTCACTCCTGCCCCAGCAATGCAAATAATGCTCTCATTCCCCAGCTGCATGGGCACTTTAACAGAGCAAGATTGTGAGGATTCCAAAGACTACCATAATCCGCCACGAAAATCCAATGTCAACTTCCTCACTTATTATTGATCACTTGATATCTAGTCTAAGGGAAAGGGACAATTTATCCTACCAAGCTCTGCATCTCTTGTGTTGGCAGACTGCATATAACATTTGCTAACAGCGACAAAAAAATCACCAAAAAGTAAGAGACAGAGTCATAGCATTGAGGCGATGTGCCATATGCCCCTCTGTGCTAACCACAAGATTATGAGCTACCCTAGATCAGTGCCAGTGACCCTTACCTGGAAGATGTTTGGTATGTGTGTGTAGTAATGATCATGTTGCTCACTGTTGAACTTCTGCAGAGTGGAAGAATATTCCGCTTTGCTGTCTTCTGCCATTTGATGACGCAGCTGGGCTTGCTGTCTTGCCTAAAGAAGTGCCAAAAGAAATTTATAATTTATACTACATGGAAAGAAATTGCATTGTTACTCCTCATCTTACTATCCTTACCAGTAGGAAGCACAGGAACATTAGCATATGGGTCTCAGAACACTTCAGCTTTTGGTTTACTCCTATTTGTGAAACATTTCATCTACATCAAGCATAAGCTCATAGTGTGCACGCTGCTGCTGTTCTTTTGTGTTACATCATGCTATTTCCATCAACCAGTTTGCATTCCATGAACAAACCCTTCTTGTACTGCGCATAAAACACCCAAACAAGTTTGCCCCTCTCCTAGCCCACTTAACGGGCACGCAAGTCTTCTGTACACTTGTACTTCTTGCTCCACTGTATGCCCTGTTGGGTGGCACCTGCTTTTCTCCAATGAACTACTTACCTGTTGGCGAGCAGTATTTTTGGGGAAAGGGAAGCAACAAAAGAAAAAAAAAACCCAAACAAATAAAACCCCCCCCACACACCCAAAAAACCCAACAAACCCACACCAAAATGGTTTTGTCTCATTTCACATGCCTTAGCCAACATGATCATGATAAAACATCTTAACTCTTGCTCCCGCTGTGCTCTCTGCAGAGTCCTTTATCTACAGCTCCTTGAATAGCGCTGGCATGAAATGCACAAGGAAAGGGGAGCCCGAGTAGCAGCTGAGACACGACTCCCTTCCTATTTTTACCCACACAGACGATTTGCTTTGCTACCCAGCATAGCAGAGCACTGGGCCATTAACATCACT